GTAGGTCTATGGGAAAAGTTTTTTTGGGCCCTATGGCATCACGTGACGGACCCCAAAAATCACAGTGCCATGATTTGGCCACTACAAACATTAGCTTCAAAGCCTGGCACACTTCCTGAGGGCCTTGCTCTGTGCACCACCCAGGTCAGGTGGGATCTAGCTGGCGGGAGGGACAGCATTGCTATGGAAACATGATAGCCACCATTTGGTCTCCCCCCAAGTAGTCCCGGTGAGTAAGCGACTGCGTTTTGAGCCGCAAAGATAGCACTGTTAACTATGTTAGCACCACTAGCTGCGCTAACACTGCTGCGATGCTAACAGAGCTAACAGTAGTTAAGAATACTACAGAAGGGTTTGCGGCTAAAATTAAACTGCACTGGGGCGGCTTCGAGGGTGACTGGAGGGTGGGCACAATGTTTCAACAACACTGTTGAGCCACTGAACGATCACAGCGCTAGCTAAATCCCACCAGATCCAGATGGTGCGCAGTGAAGAAAACTAAAAGCAGCTAGATTAATTTACAAACCGACATGCGTCACCAATCAGAAAAATCCTCGGCGGTAACAGATTTATAGTTAATGCGAGATTTATACTTCTATGTCGAATCAACACCGTATCTACAGCATAGCCTGACGTGCACCTCCCCAGAAATGTAACTACGCATCATGGCGACGCAGATCTCCTGTCTATTTTTGTAAGCTGAAACCATTTCCCTCAGTGGAAACAAAGCTTTTATTTACTTTAATTTCACAGATAAGAAACAATAAATTGTGAAGACAATAAAGCCTCCACAAAAATAGCATTTTAAGTCTTGTGTGTGATTTATCCTGGCTTCATGTGAGCAGAGGAAATCTCTGCCTGTCGCTAGGCTAATTTATACAATGTAAAATGCCATAGGCTTGTGCTAATAACGTTAGTATGTTGTACTTGTTTGGAAAACGTGTTTAGTATAAGAGTTGTTTTGTCAGTAAATGTTGTGAGTTGTGATGGAGCCAAATTTTGTAACGTTACCTTTGTTAAATGTTGCTGTTGTCCCTGGCTTCATATGAGAAGAGAGAAGTCTGCTAGCTGCTAGGCTAATTTATACACTGTAAAATGCCATAGGCTTGAGCTAATAATGTTAGCATGTTGTATTTGTGGGGAAAATGTGTCCAGATAAAGACAAGTGTTTGTCTGTGAATGCTGCGAGTTATAGTGAAGCTGATTTGTGTACTTGTGTTTGAAATTGTCTCCATTAAGCCATGTTTAATGTGTGTTTAATGTGTGTTTTGAATCAACTAAACCCTACGGCATCCCTGAACTGGATAGATGAGACTTGGATTATTCGGCGTGAGTTAAGTCTGTTAACAGATGTTTTGATATAGTTTTACTGTTTTACTTTCTCCGCTTTTAAATGCTTCGTTCACCATGAAGACAAGCGAGAAAAACAAAGATTTCTTTACAAATTCAACGCATCACAGGGTGGGTAATAAAAATACAAACGATAGTCTTGTTGGTGAAGTGCTCCTTTCAGTAAAAGGTGCCTGATGAGGAAAGATACTTTAAAATATCAACATATCTCTTTTTAGTTTTAGTGTTTATGGAGGGTTTCTGTGCTGGATAAGTACCACCATTATCAGTTTAGTTACCATGTTATTAATAAAGTCATTATTATTGCATCACATGGACTGAGGGCAGGGCAGCTCAGAGACAGTTTGGCACAGCCAGGGATTGGTTTAGGAGCCCTTCACCAGTTTGGGGCCCCGTCCCCAGTAAAGTCTACTGGTTATGCATGGCAACAACTGTTACAAATTGGGATTCTGACTGGTTATGAAACATTCTCAGACTGGCTTTGGACTTTTTGAAAGGAAGGCACGTTTGGTAAAGTTTAGGTTAGGACTTGGTGATGGGTGGGGTCCTGAGGTTTACTCCCGTGATCGCTGTCGTCTGGTTGGCTGGTTAGACAGAAGCAGCCGGGGTTGTTCCCAATGTGCTGGTCTGGTTGGCTGAGCTGGGGGAGTGACGGGGCCACGGGCCAATGAGCACGCCAGCAGGCGGAGATGGGTGGGTCATCAGTGGGCGGAAAGGTCAGAAGGTCAAGGGGTCATGGGTTAGTTGCCGTGGCAGCTAGAGTTAGACAGACAGAGACGGACAGACGTGGAAAGGAAACAAAAAGGGCACATAAAAGGGGACATAAAAAGAAAAAAAGATAGAAGAGAGATTAGTGTCAGCTAGTGGCGTCAGGATGACAACAAGGCAGATCTACGGCAGTCACACAGCATGAGGGGCGCTACAGAAGAGCTGCACAACACCTTCATGAGCCCTGCATAACCATTCAGAAGGACTTACATCAACCAGCGGGTGGTGACATAAGGAATGGCCGGTTAGAGATGCTAACGTGTGCTCATGAAGGTGTTTGCAGGGTTGTGTTTTAAGGAGATGCCCCTCCTGTCGTGTGACCGCTGCTATAGTGATACTACTCATGCTAGCTGGGCTACGTCTAGCACAGACAGACAGTGAAACCATGGACAGAGAGGGAGACAGCATGGTTTCATGTGGGTGAGAAGGTGACCTTTATGTCCAAAGAAAAGTGTCGGGGCCTCAGAAATACTTTCGCTTACTGACAAGTAGAGCTATTGTTTAGCAGCAGGTGTAAGATTAACAGTTGTGATTAACTGATTATTGATTATGGTTTGATCTATTGGCTATGAAGTATTAGAAGAGCAGCTAATGGCTACAGTAAGCAAAGAGGCACCATAGGAGATAGCGATGAGAGGTTAAGAGATGGTGATTTTAGAAACAATTTAACAATAGACAGACTAACTACAAGAATTTAGAGGCTTTGGTTTTCTTTAGAGATCTTTTTTTTCAATAGTCATCTTTATTGCCTTTTAGTGTTTTTTGTCCATCGTGTACAACAAGAGCACCACCGCTCACACACGCACACACACACACGCACATATATTGTAGCTAGCTAGTCCATTTCTATTGCATAAAACAGTCACGAGGCCTGTGAATCGAGAAGGTCGCCTCGTCTTAAATAGACAAGAGCAAAACACTGCCTTCACTGCCACCTTTTTTCTCGCGGTGACTAAAACAGTAGTAGCTACACACCTTGAATAAAAGTCTGAAGTTTACATGGAGACACTTCATCTATAAAAAGCATGTCGTAAAAATAAAAATTTACAAACTAAAAAAAAAAAAAAAAAAAAAAAAAAACTACAAGTATTTCCAAAGCGATCTTGTTCCATAAGCTTCATATAAGCACTTAAATCCTTAAAATCCCTATATACAAATTTATTTTGCAGCTAAATACATGGTAACAGCGCCACTCTGGCTAGGAAATATATGAAAGATGTAAACAGTCCCAATGATAAAGTCCAGTGGGCGACTGATAAGACCACAAACAACAGTATTTCATACAAAAGAGCTTGTAACACAGACCTCAGTAGTTATCACACGCTGTGTTTTAGTAGTAAAGACCAAAGATCATATTGAATTGAATGACCTTCAGATAAAAAGACAATCACTGTTACATTAAAGGTCCAGTGTGTAGGATTTAGGGGGATAGATTTATTGGGCAACAATTCTGTTTAGTGTGTAATCACCTGAAAATAAGAATCGTCATGTTTTTGTTACTTTAAAATGAGCTGTTTATATCTACACAGGGAGCAATTCTCATCCATGGAGACTGCCATGTTGCACTGCCAGGATAGGGCCATTGGCGTTTTCACATCAGGCCACCATAGTTAGCCGCCACTCTGCAACAATTTTTAGTGTGAAACTGCCTTATTCTGTTCTTTCACCAGTTTAAATTAGTTTTGGAGAGGAAGAGACCTCTGCAGGTAATTGTGCTTCCGGCAAAAACCTCCTGAACGTCTCGATCTTGAGTTGTCAGAGATAAAAGGTGAGCACACATTAGCAGGTGGTGGGCTAGCGATCTGTTTCCGACATGCCGAACAGGGTCAAACATTAGCCCTTTCTACACAGAGATCACGTGATAGGGCTGCTACCAAGTCCCTTCTTTACGCCACCTTTAAATTTTTACACAGAGCCAAACTCTCATGTGACATGTAACAGACACATCAGGCAGTGCTTTATTGGCAATAATTATTTACCATCCCTGTTGTAAGGCAGCTGATCTCGTCCTCTGCTCGGAGGGTAAGGAGCTCCAGGACCTCATTGTTTTCCAGATTTAAGGACATTAATGTTGCTGTTGTTCTTCTTTAAGGGGCCGTTTTTGCGCCCTCAAATTAAATGTTTTCATTGTCCTAAAAGGCCAGAACGATGCTGTCACGGCACGCACATGTTTCCGAACACCTATTTTTCAGTTCATGTGTGAAGTTCAACTTTTGAAAAGCAGCAGCGCACCTTGCATGTCGTGTGACAAGGAACAACCAATCACAGCCGGCAGATATCTTTCCCTTCTTCTGTAAATATTCAGTCTGATAATTACGGAGAAGTTGATCATGTTAGTGCAGGGCTACCCAGAGCTTTACATCTATCCCACAGACGATAGGCCGACACACTTATAAACAGCTCCTGGAAGAAGATCAGCTCTGCACTAAAGCTGGCACAAAAAAGGCACAAAAGTAGCACACAGCACCCAACCTCGCGTTTTCCAGGCGGTTAAAGATGCAGTATGTGTACAGCCCCTAAGTAAGCTGCAAACTGCTTTTCAAATCTCCCAGTGATGGGTCACATGTCATCAAAATGTCACACCCGTCCTATCCTGCCTGCTGTCCTTTTTACACATGTCAATTCCGCGCTGTTACTTCCTCCGCCTCCAGCTTAAAGGCGAGACAAAAATGTAAATATAATGTAAATGGGGATTATGTTTTTCTTTAATGTGAAACTGCTTTATTCAGTGTTGTTACTGTTTTTAATCAGCTGGTCTGTTTGTTTTGAAATGGAAAAGACCTCTGCGAATAATTCAGCTCCTGGTAAAAACCTCCTGAACATCTGGATCAGAAATAAGTTGAGCACACATCTGCGACATGCCAAACAGTATTAAAGAAACACTGATTTGTAACGTGAAACTGCTTCATTCAGTGTTTTTTAAACAGTTTTAATCACCTGGTTTGTTTGTTTTAAAGAAGAAGAGACAAGAGAGATAATTCAGCTACCAGTAAAAACTTTCTGAATGATGAATACCGAAGGAATTCTAACCAGGAGAAGCTGGTTGCAATCTGCAATCCTCACCGCTGGATGGCACTAAATCCCCCTAAGTCTTACACACTGCTCCTTTAAGCGTCATATAGTCATTGGGCACAACACAGGATTTAATTCATAATAATAATAAAAAAAACATTTGTGGAAATCTACTGGAATGAAGTTGGGTATAAATAAAACTTCCCACAGTTATTTGCAGGGTCAAAAGTAGTAGTGAAGAGATAAAAACAACAACAACAAAAAAAAAGTTTCTGAGAGAGGACTCCAAACCCAGAGTCACAAGGACCGAGTCACCTGAACGGAGTGATCCATTCTAATTGAGAGGGTCCCGGCCTGCAAGCCTTCCAGTTTATCTACCAGGCGAGCAAAGATAACCGCTGCAGCTGTCACCCCTCACGTGGTTCCTCCCAATCTGCTCACTTATTTCACTTTCACTGCAACAAATACCGTTTCACATTTTGCACTGAAGCTGCTTCAGCGTGTGACCTTTTTTTCGCCTGATACAGTTACTTCTTTTTTTAGGCATGCCGTTTTACAGACACATGTAAACTGAAATTGGTCCATTGGTCTGCATGCACGCACACTAACACACACACACATACACATAAAGTGGCTGGTGAGCTAACTAACCTCTGTCTGGGGTCACTACCCTTTGGTAAGGATGGATTCTCTTGTCGTGGCGTCGTACCTTAGTGGTCATGGCACCTGCTAACAGCCATTGACATCGCCAAAACAGAACACAGAAGGTTACTCATCAGAAAGACATCAAACAGTCCACCCATGGCACCAACATCAGGAATATACAAAGTGTTCAAGGCTGAAGGGCGAAAACAAGTCAAAACATCTCACTTCTAAGAGACAGAACTCTTGTTGTTTTGTGGTCTTCTGTTCTCTAAAGAAAATATTAATCCAAACCACTAATTTCTCACTAAGCTTCACTAGTAGATTCAACATCAGCTGTAAGCGAAGTCACTCTATAGCTCTGTGATTAAAATAAGCTTTAACATATATTAAATCACAAACAGCGGCGCTAGAATACCTATGGGTTCACTAAAAATGTGTTAAAATTACAAGCAGAAGCTGAACTATTAAAAAAAGTTAAATAGCTGTCACACCACAACACTAGTCTGCTAATACAAAGAGGAAATTAACAGGAATGGACACTTGACTACAGAATGACTGTCGAGGAATCTGTCATCCTAAAGTATGAGCAAACTCTGAGTGTTTGCTCTGGGGGAACAAGTATGTGGGGGGGTGGGGGGTGGGGTCTCTGCAAGCCAGTCCGTGTGTGTGCTAGGAAGAGTTGCTATCGTTTAGCCTTTGGTTGGGAAAGCCATACCTGCGAAAACACAGGAAGAAGGGACTATTAGCCCACCAATGAGCTTCAGCATTCATTTATATATGTTGTGGATGTATTACAAGAGCTGGATATGGCTGCCAATTCATCCCAGTGGCAAACCGTGGTACTGCATCAGACGATCCCCCCAAAAATCTGATTCCTAACCCGACGATGACAGGAAATTTAAGATAAGTGTGTTGTGTGAGAACGAAGATTTTTGCTCGCGGCTTATGCGTTACAAGTCAAAGCAGAAAAAACGCCCCACGTCATCTTTTATCCTATTGTCCAATTGGATAATTTGAGAGGTGGTCACGACAACAAGTTTACAGTTGGTGGTAGTGGTTGCTGGATACCCAGAGCTATACGGCCCAACGATAGCAGGTTGTCAAACTGCCCCTGTGTCATCCTAAAATATGCCTGGAAACATCCATCATGGAGGAGAAGCTCCTGGACCAACTGGTGGTACTCCCCATGATCCACCCTCTTTTTTAGGGTCTCATGTACCCACACAGATCTCTGTTTCCCTGTGCCCAACAAACTATTTACTGACAGCCTCTCACCCTCAACCAGAGCTACAGCAAGTACCCTCTGCCTCAACATTTTAGGAACTAGATACTAATTACTGTGAAATAAATAAAATAAATACACGGTAGATTGATTGCACAGGAAGTTTAGAATAAGAAGGTGATGGCGTGGTTGCCTGGCAACAATAAAAAGGCACAGCAAGCAGTTTTTTTTTACTGGTGGTATTCAATTTAAGAAAAAAAAAGGGCTGTGCACCTCATTGGGGCACAGATTAGGGCGGTTCAATCAATAGACTGTATATAAAGATGGACAACGCATCTCTAGTTCCCCATGCTGTACAAAAATGAAGCCAAAATATTCTGGATACCGCAGCCGCCATCTTGCGCTCAGATGTCATTTGGAGCCAGAGTCTGCACAGTAGCCATCCCTGCGTCATCAAGTTCTTGCCCATACACTGGTCTGACCCAATTGTAAACAGCACACCGACTGGCACACACAGCTGTCAATCATAACATCAAACTACCTAAAATGACAAAAACCATCTGTTAATTTTTTGACATGTAGTTTGAGTTATTTAGTTTGGCTCATGTCCAATCCGCTAACAAACAGGGGACGGGGTTTATGACCTATACTGCAGCCAGCCACCAGGGGGTGATTGAGATGTTTTAAAGTTTTATCTTATTATTTCTGTGTTTTGTTCTCTGACAGTAACTCTCCTCTGTGTCTATCCACGTCATGTTTTGCAAATACAAAGCCTGCATGTCTCTCAGGTTCTGTCTTATTGTGCTATATATAAATGTTGTAGTGTATTAATTATAAAAATGAATTGTAAATTAATTAATTTATGTCACTGTTAACTACCCTACACTGTCATGCTGGCCTCTATTATAATAGAGATAACTTATAAAAATGAAATAAATGAAAAAAGTCAATGTGTGACTTGAGCCTGGAAAACTAACAGTTAATAAAGGATGAAATTTGGCTCTCAGATCTGGCAGCACCAGGCTGTGTTTTTAAAGACTGTATAGTTGAGTTGACTGATCGCACGATTGCATTCAAAGTGAGTGCAGAGACGTGATTAGACGTGAAAGTGCATCCGTGTGAGTTGATTAAAAATGTTCTGAATCAAAAGGCTCCAGAGTGCACTTCACCAAAAATCTGTCAAATGTGACACCAAATTGGTGTTCCTGGAATCCATCAGGTCTGTGTCTGTGTCTGTATGTGTGAAGCATTATGTTTTTTCCCATCTGCACTCTGCTAGGACCCGATCCTACTGTGGCTCTGAATTTTCTTCACTGAATGCTGGTGGGTAAAAACAACAAGGGATGTGTGAAACTGCGCCCTGTGCCCCTCTTTAAGTGACATCACAAGCTTGAAACATATCTGTAATCTAAAATGAAGGTAACGATTTATTGTTTTAGATTTTATAAAAAGTTCTGGTGCCTGTTAAGGCCCGGCCCAGACCTGACATCACTGGTGAAAGCAACCGATCCACCACCTGCCTCCCCAATCTGCACTAAGATTCCCAATCCTGACCCAACATTAATTGTGTGTATGTTAACTGACAAAAAAGGAAGCACATAAAATGTGTTTTTACTGCAGCACCGAAAAGCTGCAAAGCTGTAAGACCAGAGCGGTTTTTGTGTATTTCTTTCTTGGAGTTGCAGCGGGCGGAGACAGAAGACAGAGAAACTACTGGAAAGGTTTTGTAACGTAAATGCTTTGTGAGCAACTTCTATTGGAGTCCAGTATCCAGTTCTCATAATACATCCATTGACCATGTATGAAATGATGAGCGTGTGATTTCTAAATACCTAATACTCCAGTTGAGTCAATCGGGTATTCCAATATGGAGGGCGTGAGTGTGTAGGGATACTCGTAGGGCGTGTAGATGATTCCAGATTCGGGCCCTTGCTGCACCAGCGCCGGGTGCGGATTGCCTCCTGGCACAAGGGCGGAGCTCTGAATCTGACGGATCAGAGGCATGATGGTCGGCGTGGTGACGGGGGCGGGGTTGCGCAGGGTGGGAGGCAGGACGGGCGTCGGGCCTGTAATGATCCGGGGCGCCTGAGGGGTCGCCAGAGGGAAGCCGGCGGTGGCTGTGCAGCACACGGACATACAATAATGCAAGTATGCGCACACCCACACGCGAAGCGCACACACGTACAATAGACAGGGAAGAAGAGGAGAGGACAAACAGTCTATTTAACAGGAGAAACAGAGGCATTGTTCATATATACAGTGGACTCCTGTACCGAGAACCCTCCTTTGTCACCCACCAACCCTCCTCCACATGCTAACTATGATGTCATCCTTACGCGTCTTGACATTGGCGTCTCTGTAGGTCCCGTTGAGAATGGCCAGCTCCATCAACTGCATTTTCTTCAGGTTGTCCTCCCCCTCAGCCTACACCAGAGCAGAGCAGCACAATCAGCTTACTTAGCAAGGACCATCATTCAGCCATCTGACTAGTGAATGAATTAACTGTTGTGGGAGTCTGGTTCAGAAAGTCAGCAAATGTTACAGTATGCTGAAAGTAATTATGATACGTATGATACGATCAGTCTGATCATTCTGATTAGAAATTCCAACTTGCTAAACTTAACTAAATAAATAATCTGATAAAATGTGTGTTCATTCACCTCAAAGCATTTCATCAGAATATAACCTTTTTGCCTGCTGTGAAGCATCTAATCTGCCAGAAATCTAACAGAACAAGATTTTTTTTTTTCAACTTTATTGAGAAAATTCAATTCATTCAACACATAAAGCACAGGTGGAGAAAAAGTGGCCCCAGAATTCAGTCTCAGGGTGCTTTCAGACCTAGAGTTGTCTTGCTTCGGTCCGATTCAGCGACTAATTTTGTTATAAAGTTGTATAATTGCCTAGAGTTGATTCAAGTTCTCAGGGCAGCATTTACAAGCGGACCAGATCAAATGCCTTGTGTGAGAAAGCTGCTCTTGATTGGTCAGAATTTCCATGTGGGGAAAAATCCAGGAAGTAAACCAAACGTTGAAGAAGAGTACACTTGCAAGATAAATGTGACACTTTCTAATGTCACAATGGAGGGACAACTACGCAGGTTGATTTTAGCGCTGCTCATCGTGGACTATATTGCTGTCATTGTTCATTTCAGTCAAACCATACAGTTTGAAAACGAGGCGCGGCTCCAACTAGAAAACAATGTTTTGATGCATTGGATGTGCTGAATGTGCATATTAAGGCAGTACAGGAGGAGGTGCACATTAATAATCCTCCAGGACTGTAACATGCTCATGTTTAACCCAAACAATGTGTCATGTGACTGAAGTTGGTTCAGATCCAGGTCGCAACACGTTCTCACCACGAACCAACCGCACCAGAGTTCATTTGTAACCTGACTGAGACCACCTCTTCAAGAAGGTCTTGGTCTGGTTGTTTTGGTGCACACCTGAGTGTGATTGCTGTGTTCACACCTGCCCAAACAAACTGCATTTGGGGGCAAACGAGCTAGAGTTCGATTGAACCGAACCAAACGGGGCAGGTGTGAAAGCACCCTTAAGTGACAGAAGTGCAACCCAGATTATTTTCTGTAGCTACACATCACAGATGTCCTGTAAACGCCTCACATGCAGACTGTTACGTGTATAACAACAAGCTTCATCATGATATCACATTATATCGTTTCTCTGGACAACAATATGATATTTGCTGATACCATTAATTCTGTTACAATACAATTTCGATTTAGTACAAATCAGTAAACATTTTCTATATATCGCTGTTAAAGAACACAACAGGTTTGGCTCACATTTAAGGTTTTGGTATTTTAAGTTTAAATTAAGTTTATTACATGTTACAACTCTGTTATGTATGGACTGTTTGAAGAGAGGTGCCTGGAAACATAAAGAACTGTTCCTACTCATCATCAGTATTGTATGCTTCAAACTGACGACCAGTTGTGCAGTGACTGTACAACAGGCTGTCATAGACAGTGATATGGTAATCAAAGATATAACTGCTGACCTCTGAAGGAGGAGAACTTTGGATAAAACTCAGCGCCTTCCCTTACATGGACTTAAGGACATTTCTCTGTAAATATTTTCTTATGCTACTTTGCACTTTATGGTAGTTTATCACTTTGGACTGTATGTTACCTACGGCGTAGTCTGACATGCACCTCCCCAGAAAAGTAACTACATGTCAAGGCGACGCAGACCTCCTATGTGTTTCTGTAAGCTGAAACCCTCAGTGGAAACAAAGCTTTTATTTACTTTAATTTCACAGATAAGAAACAATAAAGTGTGAAGACAATAAAGTCTCCACAAAAATAGCACTTTATAGCAATAGCACAGTCTTGTGTGTGATTTATCCTGGCTTCATATGAGCAGAGGAAATCTCCACTCGTCGCTAGGCTAATTTATACAATGTAAAATGCCATAGGCTTGTGCTAATAACGTTAGCATGTTGTATTTGTTTCGAAAACGTGTTTAGTATAAGACAGTTGTTTTGTCAGTGAACCTTGTGAGTTGTAATGGAGCCGAATTTTGTAACGTTACCTTTGTTAAATGTTGCTGTTGTCCCTGGTTTCATATGAGTAGAGGAAAAGATCGCTAGCTGCTAGGCTAATTTATACAATGTAAAATGCCATAGGCTTAAGCTAATAACCTTAGCATGCTATATTTGTTTGGAAAACGTGTTTAGTAACTAGTAAAGACAAAAAGGCAGAAAGACATCCTTTTATTTTGTAGTTGTGGTTGATTAATGTATGTAAACTTGCCACCATCGTAACAGCGGTGACATAACTTTCGAAACAAGTGACAAGTTAACTCTGCATTTGCACGTGCGTGCATCAAGCGCCCCTCTTAGCCAGATCAGGCCACATTACCCCAGGCTGTTCTGACTGAGGTGGCTACATGAGGCCTTTTTATTCTGATTGGGCTGTTATCCTGATTATTGGCGTAATTTTAGGGTCCATGAAAATGAGCTATTGTCTGAAATGGAGCTGACCAGACCTTGTACTCAGCCACTCCACCTCTCAAGACATATTTAACTTCTGAGCTCCGGTTACAGCTCGGTGAAAAGCTCAACTGATTTACAGTCAGAGAGCAAGGTCGGCTGGGTTAAACTAATACACATCATTAACATCACCCTCCGCACACATTCACACTCAGAAATTAACAGGTGTTCAGCTCCTGATTGCCTATAGACACCTCTTACAACCTTTAACTTCAAGGGTTGGCCGATGCTGTGCTGTGATTGGAGCGGAAGTGATGGCTGATTGCCGCAATAGAAACCCCCCTGCTGGTCTTTTCAGTCTGCTTCAATTGTTGCAAATAATGCAGGGAGAAAAAAGGAAGGAGCCGTGTGATTTTCAAAATATGTGCTTTTGTGCTGTGCGTCAAATGGGATCATTTTGAGTCCTTGTGTCTATACATGCAATGTGTTTCTTATTTGTGGTCATTTTTGTGCATGCGTGTGTGTCTGTAGGGGGGATGTAGGTGGGCTGGAGAATGCAAGAAATGTTGAGGGGTGCAATCAAAATGTCCTCTTGTGTGGACGACAAAAAAAACAGGGGGAAAAAGGAATACTGTAGCCAGTAGTTGGGAATGAAGTGAGTTGTGAACGAGTGAAAGGAGTGATGGAGTGGGGAGAACAAGTGAACAGACTCTCCATTCATTCCCTCAGCCTTTCAAACAACCCGGGGTTACCATGGAAACCCCTTTATGCGTGTTCCCTAATTACCCTAACCCCTTACACATACTCTCTCATACACACAGAGACACACACAAAAACACAAAAAAAGACACACACAGTTTTTGGACTGACAATCCCCTTCCCCCTTCCATGCATACCAACACAGTGAACTCTCATCCACTCACACACAGTTCCTCCGTCAGTCCAGACCGTAATATCTGACGCCGAGAGGTTCGGGCTGATACTCACAGCTGGCACCAGAAGTTTCTTGACCTCGTTGATGGCCCGCTGGAGTTTGATCTTGGCCCGGTTGTGTGTGTCCTCCACCGTGATCAGGACGTGGAGGTCCTCGCTGAGGTGCTCCCAGTTGGGCTTCCCTCGGTTCATCTCCTCCTGAAGCACAAAAACATTTTTAAGAGCTCTGTTTGAATGCGCCACATAAGCTCGGTCCATTACTGGCTCAGAGGGAACAGGATTTCACTCTTCTTCTTGTTTGGCTCGGCTTTTGGATCGGCCTCAAACTACACACAAACACACTCAAGACTCAAGGTCGTGTTACGCAGCTTTGGGAACGTTATCAGACTCATGAAATAAACATGTTGCTCTTCAAGCGGTTACACAAGTTAGATGTTGCATTTTATTGATTTATTTTATCTATTCCCTTCTTTCTCTCACTGACACTTTAACAAAACCAGTGCTGGAATGTTTAGTCAATAACTGATATTCTAAAGTTTATCCAAAGACAATCATTTAGTGAGTAAAGCACCAAATACTGATCCTGTTGCTGGTTGTATCTGTTGGTCTCCTTCCCTGTTGGTCACATAACAAACCAGGTGCACATAGTTGCATTTGTCTGTTTTAATAACATAATGTTCCTGATAGTTCTAAAAAATACCAAACACATGACAGATTAGCTGCTTTTGTCTGTTTCAGATGTTTCAGATTATCCAAACATTTTTCCCGCCCTTCACATTTGTTTTAAACTATGTAAAAATGCTTTGTTTAACATGGTTTTCCCACATAATGATTGGAAAAAAAAAACTGTGAAAAGGGGCCTGGACGCTGATCTACTTTTTCTCCCTCATTGAGAGATTCTGGATCTGGCCTCCGCCCCGCCCACCAGCACTGGTTGGGTTAGGTTTTGCTTTCAGCTTTCTTCAGTGCTGCTCGAACTAGGTTGACCAATAGATGTATAAAGAGATCTGAATACAGTGTTAGAGGTAGGGATGGGCGATATAACGACTGTGTACGGAAAATGTCAGAAAATTACTATTTTTGTAAGCTGAAACCATTTCCCTCAGTGGAAACGAAGGTAGCCATAAGCTTGTGCTAATAACGTTAGCATGTTATATTTGTTTGGAAAACGTGTTTAGTATAAGACAGTTGTTTTGTCAGTGAACCTTGTGAGTTGTGATGGAGCTGAATTTTGTAACGTTACCTTTGTTGCTGTTGTCCTTGGGTTTATTTGAGTAGATCAAAAGTTCGCTAGCCGCTAGGCTAATTTATACAATGTAAAATGCCATATGCTTGTGCTAATAACGTTAGCATGTTATATTTGTTTGGAAAACGTGTTTAGTATAAGACAGTTGTTTTGTCAGTGAACCTTGTGAGTTGTGATGGAGCTGAATTTTGTAACGTTACCTTTGTTGCTGTTGTCCCTGGGTTTATGTGAGTAGATCAAAAGTTCGCTAGCCGCTAGGCTAATTTATACAATGTAAAATGCCATAGGATTGTGCTAATAAAGTTAGCATGTTGTATTTGTGGGGAAAATGTGTCTGTGAATGCTGTGAGTTATAGTGAAGCTGATTGAAACTGTCTCTATTAAGCCATGTTTAATGTGTGTTTAATGTGTGTTTTGAATCAACTAAACTTTACAGCACTTCACAGAAACCTCCGCTGCCAACTAGTGTTTTAGAGGTGTAAAAGCTGCATATTTTCAAACGTCTTCGCATTTTATCTTTTATCACAGTCTTTTTTAATAAAACTGCTTGTGACGTCTCAAATGTGGCTTTGACTTTCAACTGAAAACATGTTGCCCCTTTCGTAGAAAATACCAAGATATATATCGTGTATCTCCAGTCAGCCTGTAAATACCGAGATATGAATATTTGTCCATACGGCCCAGCTCTAGTTTGGCTACAATGAAAATTGGCTTCAAAAACTGGGGCACTTCCTGGGGGCCTGGGTTGACTAGGGAAAGAGCAGTGCATATCAAGAAGGGTAGCGTTAGTTGTTAAAACTTTAAAAATGCTAATGCTAACTCTCCTCTCTGTATTGATACGTCTACAGCTACTCGTGGACAAGAGGCTTGTGCTTGTGACAGCACAAGATGTAAAGGTCAATGACGTCCTCCTAGGCTGAGCTGTAGTGTTAGCTAGCTCAATAGTGCTAGGTGAGCTAGCAGCAGACTAACACTTCTTTCTGCATGGTGATACGGTTGACAGGTGTAGTTCAGTAGAAAGAAAATAGTTCCTACAATAAACTCGGCAACTCATACCACAACAATCTGATAAATAGCTCTACAGATGAGAAGAGGAATTTGTGTTTTTTGTTTGGGAGTGAACTGTCCTTTTCACAAACTACTTCCTGTTTCTTTAGCCTGTACAAAAACAAAGTGTATAAATGACTAACTGTAGTTTTGGGAGGTTCAGCTGCCAGTATGCTTCTTTGTAAGTGGTTGTTGGATGGTTGAAAAGCTTTGGAAACCCACTCCACCCACACTTTTCCAACTTCAGATTAAGAGCTAACTTTCCGAAACAATTTGACATTCTCACCCACTCCATGCTGTGATTGGCCAGCTGTCTGGAAGTGAGGAAGTAAACATTTCTTTAGCTCTTTAACTGAACGACTGAGTGCAACACTGCGAATCTTCCAGGAGAGACTGTCTGACAGCTTTCAATTTCCAGATTTTAATTTTCCATAGTCGGACAACATGCTCTACAAACTACTTCTCCATAACCTGACCTTTATGTGTTGGAACTACATCTTGGCTGGGCGCAGGGACTTCCTAGCCAGACCAGCTGCTTCCCCCTTTTTCCAGTCTTCATGCTAAGCTAAGCTAACCACTTCCTCCTGGCTGCTGCTTCATATTTAACGGACAGACATGAGAGTGGTATTGATCTTCTTGTCTAACTCTTGACAAGAAAGCAAATACAAGTGTTTCCCAAAATGTCGAACTCTTCCTTTCAGTGCAGCGTCACATTTTACAGCTAATGAAAATAACTGATAGTTTGAGCCTGGGTTCAAACTTGAAATCATGAAGCCCTCTGTCTCAGTGCTGCCTGCTGGGACATTGTATCCTCTGTGGATGTTTTGTCAAGTGAGATGTATCATTTTGAAAAACACCAAAAGTCAACATCTTTCTCTCTTCTCCCCTGCTGCCTCCCACTGTGTCTCTGTTTTCCTTCCTCTCCGTCTCTGTGTGTGTCTCTGTCTCTCTGAGGGGCGTGCGGGGTAGGGAATGTTCTGGAGAGACACAGAGAGAGACACAGAGAGAGAGAGAGAGAGAGAGAGAGAGAGAGAGAGAGAGAGGGAGGGAGAGGGGAGGGGGTGGAATGCTGGACTTGCTCCACCTGCCGTTTGGAAAGCTTGAGCCGACTCCGTCCAACAGCAGACACCAGGGGAGAGGAAGGGGGAACAGATGGACCGAACACCAGGACAGAAAAACTGACTCTGAGAGGAGGGATGGATAGATACTGTAGACAGAGAGATAGATAGATGGATATATGGACAGATAGATGGATAGATATATAGATACTGTAGACAGACAGACAGATAGATAGATAGATAGAGTGGGAACCGGTGCGTTCATGTGTTTGCAGCCAGCTCTCAGGAGTTTGATGTCGCAGCACTCACACTATTTCTCAGCCAGAGGGAAACATTAGTATTGAAGTCTATGACTTGATTTTTGCAGCATGGATGTTTTTGTATCTGGTTCAGCTATTTCTTGTATTTCTCGGATTTTCATTCTATCCCTTTGAAATGCTTTGTTTTCAGTGCATAAAAGGACCACAGCCTTAAACAGGTTTTTGCATATTTCAGTCTTTTACATTCATGACTGTATGTTTCTCGGCCTGCAGGCTGCTATGGGATTCCATTCATGCCAAAGCTGCTGGAAGTCCTCTCAAATGCACGTGAACATCATGTCCTCATTTTTATTGTTTTGTTATTGCAGAGTAGTATTGTATAGGGTTGCTTGTTTATGGAAAAAATCATAATCCCAATAATACTGACAGAATTACTTATTAACTTTGGAACCATCATGCATTTATTGAACTTTAAGTCTCATTGATTAACTGCTGAAATAACTTTGAATCAATGGCTGATCAGTTGTTGGGCAAAGTCAAAAAGCAATTTGAAGGAATAGTTTGACATTTTGTGAGATACACTTTCTCGCTTTCCTTCAGAGTTAGATGACAAAGTTCAAACCACTCTCATGTCTGAATGATAAATCTGAACCCAGAGCCAGAGTTAGCTTAGCTTAGCATACAGACTGGAATCAGAGGGAACCAGGAAGCATAGCTCTGTCTCAAGGTAACAAAACCAAGGATCACTAATTACTCACTCATTATCGCTTTATAGCTCATTCATTTATATCTGCGCAAATGCTGTGACATAAAAACAACAAATTAAAGTTTGAAGAGGGTTATGTGAGGGATTATTTCTTGGCCGGGAGCAGTGACGTCCCTGAGTCTCTGGTTATGACAAGACTTTACAGATTTGGTTTGCTTCAAACAAATCCAGGCTAGCTGTTTATGTATGTGCCGTATTTCCAGTTAGCATGCTACGCTAAGCTAACTGTCTCCTGGCTCTAGCTACATACTAAGCCTACAGACACAAGAGTGGTATCAATCTTCTCTCCTAACGCGTAATTAATACTTGTGCGTCAAATTGACACCGTACCCTACGCCATAGCCTGACGTGCACCTTGCCAGATATGTAACTACACTTCTCTGCTACGCAGACCTCCTGTCTATTTCTGTAAGCTGAAACCATTTCCCTCAGTGGAAACAAAGCTTTAATTTACTCTAATTTCACAGATAAGGAACAATAAATTGTGAAGACAATAAAGTCTCCACAAAAATAGCATTTTAAGTCTTGTGTGTGATTTATCCTGGCTTCATATGAGCAGAGGAAATCTCCGCTCGTCGCTAAGCTAATTTATACAATGTAAAATGCCATAGGCTTGTGCTAATAACGTTAGCATGTTGTATTTGTTTGGAAAACGTGTTTAGTATAAGACAGTTGTTTTGTCAGTGAACCTTGTGAGTTGTAATGGAGCTGAAATTTGTAACGTTACCTTTGTTAAATGTTGCTGTTGTCCCTGGTTTTATATGAGAAGAGAAGAGAATAAAGTCCGCTAGCTGCTAGGCTAATTTATACACTGTATAATGCCATAGGCTTGTGCTAATGACGTTAGCATGTTGTATTTGTGGGGAAAATGTGTCCAGATAAAGACAAGTGTTTGTCTGTGAATGCTGCGAGTTAAAGTGAAGCTGATTTGTGTACTTGTGTTGTCTCTATTAAGCCATGTTTAATGTGTGTTTAATGTGTGTTTTGAATCAACTAAACTTTACAGCAACTGTGAAATAACAACATTTCACAAAACATGGTGTGTTTTGTGAAATGTTGTTGTGTTTTGACCCTCAGGACCACCATAGCAAGAAAGCAAGAATTTAAACTTTCCGACAGTGGAGGTATATACACTATCTTGCGTGTGTATAAGTGTGCTTCTAGTTGTGTGTACCTTCTTCTTGTCTCTCATGGAGCCCTTTCCTCGCACCATAATCTTGCAGCCGGTCTCTGCCTCCAGTTGTTTGGCCGTCAGTCCACGTGGGCCCAGGATCCTCCCTACAAAGTTAAACTACACAAAAGAGCAAAAGACACATTGATCTTAAAATAAAAAAAACAAAAAAAAAACAGGCCAAAGGCAAGAGAGAGACACGTTTTGAATCATAGATTGTCTTTTTACAATGTGTGTGTATTTGCATGTGCTGCCAGCGAGTGTTTGTGCATCTGTGATGTGTTACTAAGAGAGACAGAAATAGCTCATTATATGGGTGCTGGCTGGTGCTGGTGGCATAACAGGACAGCGCCGTTCTCTTAACCTTATCTGTCACCAAGACTGAGTGATTAACTAGACAGCTGCCCCCCTGTATGTGTGTGTGTGTGTGTGTGTGTGTGTGTTTGTTTCTTTGCCACTGTCCCTCTGTCTCTCTCTGCCATTTGTGTCTCCTAACATTCGTCTACCCTCTTCCCACTTTTCAAAACTCCACTGAAGTTTAACCTAATGTTCACTTCAGTTGCGACATATTCGCTCAGGCCTCTGTGATGACCCTCGACACACACACAAATCCAGATAGAGGAACTGCTCTCTAAATTTAACCTTGATCTCAACCGTTTTCCAGTGTGTGTGTGTCCTGTTAGCCTCCTGTCATGTGAGTGAGGACAGCCTGTCATTGTATTCGGTGATTGGCGAGCTGATGCGTGGAGAAAATCATGTGAGCACATTCAATCTGGATCAACGCAACTCATATTGAAGTGCTTAAGTGTACTTGGCGTGAGCAGGGACGTATTAGTCTTGTCACTGCGGTGCACTTGTCTTTATATTTGGGGGAAAGACTTAATCCACATCTTTTAAGATCTTATTAATATTTACGGTGTGATCGTAAAGCTAGAAATTGTGCTGCAGTGAGGGCAGGTTGCCTTTTTGAGTAAACAAATCCTAAAATATTACTGTAAATTATTAATTTTCATCTCATTGGAAGCAGCAGACAGAATTAATAATTGATCTATTTTAAGTCTCAATTACATCATCGGGAGAGAGCAGAAATGAGCTCACAATGAAATCAGCTTTTAGATAAAATGTAAAGCTATGATTTAAGGTCTCACTGACTCTCTGGCAGCCTATCTGTAACTGAGAGGGGATTAGGTGACCTGATAAAGTAAACAGAGACTCCTCTCAAAAGGTCAAGGGTCATGGATTCGTCCACACTCACGTCAGGGTACTCTTTGACAGGCACGTAGAGCTTCTCCTGCAGCTGAGCCACAGGGCCGATGGCTTCGGGAAGCTCCTCCATGTCCCGCCCGTTGAACATGCCGCCGTTCACCGTGTCATTGTACATGTCTTTGCGTACCCTGCCGATTTCTGGGGGACAGAAAGAGTTTGAGTTAAGCGCATTTAAAGGAGGACGTCCGTGAAACTGTCAATGGGTGACCACAAGTGTCACGTTTCTTCAGGCTGTCCGTATCTGAGGACGGTGACTCACTGTCACCAGAATTACAGGAGGCTCTGAGTGTGACAGCAGACAGAGAGACAGACAGGGGGGCAGGGAGACAGTCACAAGCATTCTGCACCACAATGTAGAATTTAACTGCTGAACGATTTGCAATCAGGCCTCCTCTATTACTGACAATTTCTTTCTTTCTACTTCTTTCTCCAATAGTGTTGAACACACACACACACACACAAACGAAATACATGCCAGTGGGGGTCACAACGACCTGCTCTACCCATCAGTGTTTATAAGGTTAGCTAGTTTGGTATAGTTATTCAACAGTCTCGTTTACGAGCCATTGAAATTCTCACACAACAATACAGCTGCAACTCGTCGGCTGATTATTGTCAAACTATTTTGCTGATTATCAATAAATCTACTGGTCTATAAAATGCAAAGTAAAATGTTTGCTATGGTTGTGTGGCACTGCTCAGGTTAATCACTTTGCAAAACATCAACAGATACACAAAGAGAAAGAATGACATAGAACTTTTATCCGGTCTAAAATATTGACAGTTAAGTGCTGTCAGTTTATTGACAGATAATCTTACACTCAGGTCCCCAGAAAAGCAGCTCAGCCTTGCTTCTAATTTCTCCCAGTGGCCACTCACAGTATCACTGCCGAAAAAATTCCCTGCAGCCCACAGACCACCATTATGAGAGAGACGTCTGTAAAACTGCTGACAGGACACCTTGAACTGCAAACAAGGTCAACTTTTTCTACTATGTATTTTTGATGCATTGTAGTTTTATATTTGTCACATTTTCCTCAAGCTGATAATTTTTTTTTTAAAAAATCTGTGTCATCATGACAATGTAAAGTCTATGAGCCAAGCAGGAGCTCATGGGCGGGGCCAGCGGGAGAAACACTACTGCACAGTGGGCCGTGTACTGCGTAAGTAAACAGGGAAGCTAGAAATTTCTTTTTGGCGTATGCACCAGGCGAGAAACTCCACTGAAGGTAGTAGTAGTTAGTGCCATCATGAGTTCCGCTACCTCGGTATTATTATACATCTACAGATTACACTATTTACCAGATATCGAATCATTTTCGCCGCTCTGAGGTCCTGGTTATATGTCAACAATTTCAACCAAAAACGGAAAAGTTTAGTTGCTTTTTGGCTAAGCGTTTACACATCAGCTGCGTTTTGGGTGTCTGAAAACGCAACATTTTGAATGCAATTTTTTGGAAACCACACCGTCTCCTTTGTCATGTAAACTTCCTCTGAAAAAGGAGACTTTTGGCACACATGCATTACGGTTCCAGTCGTTAGGCATGCGCAGTAGCGGACCATCACAACAACAATGGCAGACTCCCGAGCTCTGTTTGTACTGCTCACCCTGTTGAATTTATCAACACTTCTCCAGCAAAGTGTAGATTTACTGTAGCAACTCCACCTCGTCGTCCGTCCAGACAAACATTCATGCAGTTGCCATTTTGTTTGTTTATACATCGCCGCTCTGTAGAAGGTAGCGCATGTGCGCAGGCGTGTTGTTTCATTACAAAGTCACACCGCTATCTACTGGCCTGGAAATGTATACTACAGTGTTTTTGGTCATTTTTGCTGATCCGTGTGCATGGCGATTGTTATCAAAATGTTGTCGTCTGAACGCGGAACTTTTTTCAAAACGAGAATGAGAAATGATTCTGTTTTCAGCAGATTGTTTTCGTGTAAACATGGCCTAAAACAGTTGTTTCCGGTGGCTGCAAAGCGCAACTTGCTGGCTACTGTTTTAGGACGACATAGAAAAATTGGTTTCCAGGAAAACTGCTATTTGATCCAGGTGTGAAACTATTTCCAAATTAAGTTGTATCAGATAAATGCACAGATTTGCGTACTTGCTGATACTTGATACAGCAGTATCTGAGGCATTTCTGATACTGCTATCAGTCATGGAACAACTCTACGAAAAATCATGATGACTCAGAGTCCTTGTGATAACTTAAAATGTCATTTTTTGACTGACCAAGATGAAGATTCAAGACTTACTTCAATATCCAACAATGAAGGAAATTTAATTTGGGCTTCCACTCATGCTACATTCATTAAACACATTCCACATACGCACAACACAAGGGTAAAACAGCTACAATCAACAGTCCCACACTCAAAGATATTCAGTTTACAAGGATATAAAACAGAGAGAAGCACGCTGAAGAAGCTGCAAACACCAAACTGTTTGCACTTTTGATTAAAAACAACTTAAAGTGTCAATATTTTGCCCGAGGTTTGGTGAGAAGCACCATCATAAATAAGACTATGTTTGTCTGCCTGTCTGCTTGTTTAGTGTTGTCTCAATGACCAGTGCAGGCCTCTGATGCCTCTGTAATGACACGCTAGCATAATAATAACCGACTACTGCACTACACAAACACATATGCAACACATACACACAGACCCTCGCCTTGAACTCACAAACACACACACACACGGCGGAATAACTGCCTCGAGGCACAAATATCATCTGACCTAAGCAGGCTGACAGGCATGTCTCCCTGCTCTGAGAGTGATAAGTCTGACCATAATAACTACAGTCGGATACTATAATTACAGCCGCAGCTTCAGCGACAATGATGATCCTCTAATAACCCATTCTGACCTGTTACAGACCTAAAGTGACAATTAAAAAAACACATACACGCACAAACAAATCTGCACAGACATGCAGGACTTTTGTCACACTTCAGTTGCAACAGGGAGGAAAATGAGAAGTGAAAGAAGAACAAGAGAGTCAAAGGAGAGATAGTTAAAGGGGGGAGCAGTGGCAGGCCTTATCTTAACACTTCAACCTGTCATTGGTTTATATATAGACTGAACTCTATCGCAGTGCTTCCAAATATGCCACAAACATGCACCCTGACAATATGTGTGACTGGCAGGCTTTCTTATTACCCTGCACAAACTTTTTTGGGACCGTGCCCTTGTCCACATTGCTCAGGCAGAAGACACAGCCAGGCCGAAAATGAGCACGGTACAATGCCTTTCATTCTAACCGAGGGTGTCACATTATCATGTGTGAGGGATGAATGCGCTCGGCTGTCAGTCCTCAACATGAACACGACTGGAGATGTTAAGTTGACCTGTTCGTCAGGCTGTAGAGGTCGTCTGGTATGAGAGCAACCTTGCTGCGTCATGAGGCTTGTCACAGAGCACAAAGTCAAGACCTCGGTGATCCTGATGAGCAACAGCAGTAGCAACAACCAGGCCTTAGTAGCTTGTAGCCACTGACACTCGAGACAGATAAGACGCCACTTTTTAAAGATTTTAAAGCGTTTGTTGCAAGTGATGTGACGTTGTTTCTGAACTGCTTGCAAAAAAATGTTAGGTGTCAACAAGTGCGTTGATTAGTTGTACAGACAGCATGTAAGTAGCCTCAAATCAAATATTTTATGCAGTGACATGCTCTCGTTCCTGCTCAGGGATGGGCTGCAGCATTCACATAAGCCTGCGCATTAGGTCACTGGGAAAGACTAACAACTGTCTGTTTGTTCCCATCACCAACTGCCCGTGTGTGTGTGTGTGTGTGTGTGTGTGTGTGTGTGGGAAAGAGAGAGAAAGACAAAGTGCTCATCTGCTGCTCCCAACAAATTAAAAATGTGACTTAAGGGAAAGTACACATCCTATTAGCACGTTAATTTTGAATTTACAACCACAGCTCTATGAGGCAACCCAAATACATTTTAAAACATTAAGTAGTTTTTCATGAGTATGGGCGTACATCTTTAAGGGGGACTAAGGGCACACGTGCCCCTCAATATTAGGAATAAGTTGTAGTTATCAACCTAAATACATTGTAAAATGTTAAGTAGCTTCTCATGAGCATAGGCTTACATTTTTAAGGGGGACTAAGGGCACACATCCCCCTCAACATTTAGAATAATCCATTTATCAACCTAAAAACACTGACGAAAGTTATGTATCTTTTCATGAGCACAGGCATAGATGTTTAAGGGGGACTAAGGGCACACGTCCCCCTCAACATTTGGAATAAGTGCATTTATCAATCTAAAAACACTGACAAAAGTTATGTATCTTTTCATGAGCACGGGTGTAGATGTTTAAGGGGGACTGAGGGCACACGTCCCCCTCA